TAAATGTAAAATAAGATTATTTCTGATATCCCTGTTGTTTTTCAGTGGAAGTTTCAGAACTTATGATAAATAAAGTAGCAGTTGAAGATTGATCTTTGTTTTGCTCAAACAAGAAAGATGAAAATTATTTTTCTTTTTGATTTCCAGACATCTGTTAGCAAAGGTACTAGACCAGTCAAATTACCAACATTTGCAAGACGACCTGCATCTCCTTCAAATTCCAACAACTTCAACCATTCTCCCCATTCTTCTGGTGGATCCAATAACATTGCGGGAATTAACAGGCATGGAGGAGAACTGCATAACAGATCAGGTACCATGCTGCTTTTATTTTTAGTAAGAAAGTCATTTGTATTTGGTTCAGCTAAAAAATTAGAGTTTATGATGATGGTAGAAGATATTAAACCTTTTCTGAGGGCTCCTACTGCTGTATAAGCAAAAATTCCATACATTTCGTTGGAACAGGATTGGACTTTGGACACCTACATAAGGGAACAAAAGCCTCACATCTGTTATAGGAGTCTCATAGGTTAGCCCCTGTCTCAGAAAAAACATGTTGATTTTATTGAGTCCACCCACGATGGATCAGGTGGATGCTTGTTCATTGCAACATACATTTCATAGAGCTGTCTCTTACCCATGTTGCTTGCTTTTTGTTTAAAATAAAAATCGGTTTTCAATTAAAAACAAAGCTGCAAGCATTATATCTGGCAGCTGTAAAGACAATATGGTGAAGGAGCTCACGAAACCTATATCCAAGAGTATGAAAGTCAGCTCTGTGTGTGTATAAACAAGGCTAGCTTTTCTCTTCTCCTGCGGTTGATCTTTGTTCCCTTTCCTGAAAGCTGCTGAACAGGTCTGAACCTTACAATTCTCTCTCTTACCTCATCCAGTCAGCTTTTAAAAGAAAGTGAGTGGTGGAGAGAAGTGAATTGAGAATTAACAACTATTTTAAAATGATGGTTTCCTTGGTTCTGTTTTTATTTTTTTTTTTTCTTAGGTGGCAGTGCAGATAATGTTTTGTCTCAGATTGCAGCCCAAAGAAGAAAAGCAGCAGGCCTACCTGAACAGAAACCCAACCAACAGCATAGTCCAGTCCAGTCAACTCCTTCATCCACTCTGTCAGATTTGCAGTGTGCTCAAATTGTTGGCAATGGACATGTTGTAAAGGTACAGAGAAATGTAAATTTTTGTACTTCCAAATTGGCTAATTTTAATAGGTCGCGTCTCAGTCATGGATGGTTGATAAGTATAACTGCATGACATTGCACAGCCTAAAATGAAGGAACACCTGTTACAGTAGTGGAAACTTCTCCGTTCCACAAACCTTCCTTTTAATTACAAGTCTACAAAAGATCAGACCTAATAATAAAACATTTATTATTAATTTCACTCTATTTTTAAAACCAGTAAATGTAATGCTTGATCTTAGGGTAGATCTGCACTGTTATTTTGGTTTCTCATCATTTCTTTCTATGGCCCCGATTGAGTCCAGTGTTTTATGTTAGTTATTCCTCGGCTTTACTCTGAAGTGGTATAGCTAGTTTCCCTCCAAAGGCACAACCTGAGTGCAGAACATGAGATAATTTGTATCAGGATCTGCTGACCACAACAATATGTGTGTATTCAGTCTGCTCCACAAGGTGTTATATTTAAACAGTATGAACATTAAATTGTCATCACCAAAGTGAGGTTTTGCTCCTGAGTGCAGGCCGTATTATCTGCGCTGACTTACTATCGCGAATGAGTGGTTTAGAGGTCGCTTAAAGAATCACCATCAAAGATATTAGCAGAAAGTGATTTTAATAGAGATTTATAAAGGTGCGACCTAACAGAATTCGATGGCAAGGTTCACTCTATTACTTATTACACGGATGAAACGTATAAAGGAAAATCATCTAAGGGTTTATATTTCAGGGACTATATGTGTTTGGCAGCAGTCTAGGTTTCATTCACAATTTAGCAACACTTAATTATCAACTAATCATTTACAAACTTTAGTAACGCTTAATCATTAACTAATTCAGTATTTGCAAAGTGAGTTAGTAAGTCTATGACAATCACAACTTAATTACAGATTATGCTTACTATCAGTTCACACACACAGAGAAACATATATATATATAAAAATATACAGAAGGTATTCCTGTTAAAAATTCCCCTCGATTTCAGTGAAGAAATATTCACGTCGAATGTCTAGGCATTCCTTCTCAACGGGCGAAAGGATTGAGCTTTGAAGGGGAGTTAGCCCAGGACCCAGCGGTCCTCTGAATATCGCAGGCTCGAAAGATCGCAAGCTCTGAGAGGCGTCCCACTCAGAGGGAGGTGCTGGGTGCAGCCCGCTGCGGTCCAGGAGAGCTCAAAGGGCCTCACTTAGGACCACCGTTTATAGGTTCGGAAGATGGTTAGCTTTAGTCATCCATAAATTTCCGTCCTGGCCACAGTCCCAGGTGGTAATGACTAAAAAATTCTCAAGGTTTCGGTGTTGTGCTACTGGACACCTGGGCCAGGCAGTAGGAGTGTGTTCCCAGCCTCAGCTATGCAGAGTTTCTGATATGGTCAAGGAGTGCTCAACTGCCAGACTTCAATACACCAAGGCCGAGGTTTCATGGAAATTTCTGAGATCAACAAGCGGCCCAGATCAACAAGTGGCCCAGGGAAGAAAAGGGGTGTGTGTGAATGCACCACCACACTTACCTATCAATTTCCTGGAATAGCTTTACCCTCATTACCTGCCCATTTTTGTGCATGTACTTTGACGTTAACAACTGCTTTGTACAAAATTTTTAAGGATTAAGATTTTAAATCAGCAGAGACACAAGTTAGAAAGCAGCATCATAACAGAAGATGGGATACACTATTGTGAAATGTATGGGTTTATTCACACAGTTTATTCACATTTCAGAGAGCAAGAGAAAGAAAGCACATAACTTGGGGTTTTAGTTCTGATGTCTGGTATTCTGAAAATGTTAGAATACATGACCAAGAGCAAAATTTCTCAACTTTTTGCTTGTGTAATCTCCAAACAGCTCATTTTGCTTTGTTTTGTTTTCTTTGCATCTCTTTATGAGATTCTTCTTGAAGTTTTGCCTGAGGAAACAAAAATGGCCAGAGTATAAAATTATTACATTTACTATCTTGTTCTGTAATGTCTTACATGGCAACAGCAAGCAGTATGTATATTTAATCAGTAAATATCAATGATAAATGAAGTTACAAAGCTGTTCAGTGATTCAATTGAAATTTCTGGAGGACAAAAATCAGAAAAAGTGTGCAACTACCAATGCCAAAACAGTTTCCATGGATAGTCACTTTGTCTCTGATCTATCAGTCCTGATTCTGAAGGGACTACTGGTTGCTTTTCAAAGATGAGATTGGGAGCTAGAATTTATAGCTCTGTTGGACCCCCAGAAGCTATAAACTCATACTGATTCTGTGGCACATGATAATCTTTCCTCCTTTCTATCCCACGTAACTGCTCCCCAGGTTATAAATGATCTGTCTCTTTCTTTCCTGTAGACAAAGCCACTTTATTATCCTCTTCCCTCATTAAAGTCTCCTCTACTGAACAGCTACCAAATGCTTTTTCTTTCAGAGGTAGTCTGACCAATGTATTTCTAATTAAACTCTCAGCAGTTCCTCTCAGCTTGTTTTTATCTTGGAAATAATTTCAGAAGAGCTGCTTGTGTGCCCCCCAAAATCTTATTTTTCTCCAGTTATATTAGTTAGCCTATTAAGAAATAATACCTGTGCCTCTGAGCTTTGGGCTGCAGATCTTGGGGCCTGTTGTTACAACAGTGCTGCCACTAAGAAGTTTAACTATTATTCCCGCTCACAGTGGAAGACATGAGGGGATAAAGAAGTAGTGAGGTGCAATGCCCTGCAGATCATCTTCTGGGAAGGCAGTTCATCATACTGTTGAAAAGATTTTTAAGTAAAAATGGTACCAGTATGTTGGAAAGGCAACAGCTCTTTCAGTGCTCTTTGCTTAGATGTCTAGATGAATTTCAGTCTATCCACAAAACATGTAACCAATGTGGATCTCGCGATAGATGTTCATGTATCACACATCTGAGGTGATTTTGGGACATCAGTATCTGTTGGGAGTACACAGTCAATATGGATCCACACTGGCTGCAAAAGCTTAAACAGCCTACTTTGTTGTTGTAATCAACAACACAAATGCTGAAAATTTAACATCTATATCCATTGTGGAAATGCTTGTGCCCTCCCATTAGGATCATGCTGTCTAAACTTGGAAATAGCTGATCTAAAAATGCAGCAATGTTGCACTGATCAATTTTGCAAAAGTTATCCATGAGGGGTGGGATTGTACAAGCCTTAAAAAAAGGAAAAGAAAAACTGAATAACAATGTACAGGGTGATGTAATTTAAATAAATGCAGTCAATGTGCTAGAGAGGGAAGACCATTCTGAAACACAAATGGCCAATAACAGAACACAGGGAAATTTGAGACGAAAAATTGAAATGAGTTCACGATGCTCTTCAGAGACCTCTCAAATTTGTATCATGCTATGTTACTTCTAGCCAATTTAATGCAGGGCTAAGGAGGTAGTACATTCTGGCATAGGATAGAGTAGTGGAAGAATGTTACCACTCAAATCAGTTTTATCTTTTTAATCTGCATGTCTTTCATAAACTAGAAAAGTTCCATTTATGCCGTAGCACAGAAGCAAAATTGTAGAGGAGCAGGAATCACTGTCATTCTCCCTTCTTGCCTTGTTACCCAGCTCAACTTTTTTCTTATGCTTTTCTTGTAGCAGCCTGACTGACAAAAGGTATTTTAAGTTAAACTCTGAATTCGGGAATCCAGGAGAAAAGCACCTAAGACTTCTTTTTAGGTCATACAGTGCAAACATCGAGATATGTGAAGTGATACGTAGATTGAGGAATTTAGGAGATGAGGTACATTAACTTGTTTTGGAAAAGACTGATACATATATATATATATATTCTTATTCCTCATTTTAATTTGTCTATTTTTCTGTTTTCCATGCCTCCAAATGTATTAAATATTTGCAAAATATTTAATAAATTTGAATCATATGACTCATGTTAGGTAATAACAAGTTTAAGGGATGACTGGAAACTTTCATTCCAGTGCAGCAGGGGGTTTAAATGCACCCGAAACTTAGTTTATGCTTGCTACATATTTCTGATTAATCCAGCATGGAGTGCTGCTTTAAATTAGCATCTGATATACTTTGAAAAGTTTTAATTGAGGCTTTATTTATTTAATTAAATCTCTGAATGAAAAAAGACCTGTTTTCAGGGTCAAAGTAATTTCAGCTTTTATAAAAAGAATAATTGTAGTGCTTGTATATGGTATTGCTTTATAAGAAATCATTTTCTTATTCCAAAATTACAGCCTTAATAAATGTATTTTTCTTGATGAATTTGAGGGGACAGACTTTCACCTGGGATAAATTGGTATTGCTCCAATTATTTCAATATGAATCAAGCAGAAGTTTCTAGTTGTGACTACGTGCTCTGCAGAAATGATATGCAACTTAAGTAATATTGAAGCATCATATATAGGTAAACACTTTTTTTTTTTTTTAACTGAAATGATTGTATCATTAACTACAGCAAAAACTGGAAATGAACAAAAGACCTCCATCTGGGACTTCATCTACGTCTAAGAGCACATCACCAACTCTCACACCTTCCCCATCACCCTCCCCATCTCCTAAGGTTCACAACGCAGAGTCCTCTCTCTCTTCTTCTCACAGACAGGCCAAGAGCAATGGTTCCAGCAGTGGTACTATTACAGAAGATGGTGAGTAGGTCACTGTAATTATAGGAGATTCATTTATCAAGAGCACGAAGTGTTTGAAGTTATAACTATACTGGATTAGTGTGTATCTGCATGAGAGTGAGAACTTCTTTCTTTCTAGAAAAAATATTTTGGTGTTTCTTACTGCAAGTATTCCTGCAGTAACTGGCTATTTCTCTCGCAAAAGCTGTGATCCCTTCCATTTAGAGGGAGATTGGTACCATCTCAAAGCTAGCAGAGAGCACGTAGGCCACTCTTACGTGGCCTCCTTCCTTCCCCCGTTTCTGGCTTAAATCCTGTTTTTCACCCTTTGCTGAGGGTAGAAAATGCACTTTCTCCACATTCAAAATGAATTTTTTTTTTTAATAAATGCAGTGAAGCACATCACTACAGAAATACAATTTTGATTCATGGCAAGTCATAGCTACATGCAACTGATTTTTAAAAGCTGTATTGCATTTTTTTTTTTAATTTGCAAAAATAGCCTTATTTTGACCTTATTTTTAACTTTAGGTCATAAGAAAGGATAATAATGTTATTACTTTTCCAATAAGATTACTGCCTTTTAAGTTGAACTTTAAGGTCTAAATTACAACACTTTATTTTAACAAGTCATATTACTGCATTGGAAACAGCATGTCAATTACTTTGTTTTCTTCTGTAAACATCTCAAAAAAAGTGAAAAAAATAACAGGACTCAGAATCTTTTAAATAAGAGTTGGAGGTACCTTTTATTTGGTTTCTGCAAGAGGCACTTTGTACTGTTTTTGGTTTTTTTGAAAGTGTCCGTATTGATTTTGTTTTGTTTTCATTTATGCTAGCTTTGTCCATTGACACTGTACTTCCATTTGACACTAAAGAGAGGTGATATTTGACCCGCTTTCTATCCTCTTATCATGGCTTAGCTGTAACGTATTGTACTGACTGCTGGAGAAAATCCTTTCACATTTTAGTTAGTGCCATTTTATAATGATGGCTTGATAACATAAGAGTTGTCGGTTTGGAAATCTATAAAGGGAAGAGAACTTCCTGTCAAATAACAAGGGGAATTCCCCAAGCAATCAGCTGTCCTAATCTCACCTGGTGAAGCCAGGCTTTGTGACTGCACCACTAGTGCCATGATACAGTGAGTTTCCTCTGTAGCAGAGGAATAGGTTGTCAGAAGTCTAAGTAGTTCTTGGTTCATTGTGCTTGTAAGCTTTCGTAGTTAAGTGGTCCTTTAATTCAAGGGCTTCTCTTACGGTGATTTGATTCAGCAGCAACAGTACATATGCTCATAGGCCCAGCAGTAATCAGAAGAATAAGTAGAAGGCGGCCTGCGATATTAACTTTTCTTTTTCTTTCAAGTAAACTTAAATGAATTAGAAAATTGATTTGCATTGAATATTACTGTGAAGGAACAGTAGGCAGCAGGGTTCAGAGGTGTGCTGGTTTCTTTTAGGCAACCACTTGGTGGACCATCAACAGCTTGTCCCTATTCTGAGAACCAGTGATGTAGAGAATCATGAAAGACGAAACCACGTGAGAGTAAAAGGAGGCTCTGAAAACTTGGAGAAAGGTAATCTTACCCTACTACTACAGAGTAGTACAAAAGAGGTGCTGAATAGGAGTAGTGTGGCAGAAGTAGTAAGAGCCCTGAGAACCTTTGCTTTCTCCAGGGATGCAGGTAAGGAGACAAGTTATAAATAGAGCAAAAGAAAGACTTAGTGAAAAAGCAAAGGAGAAACAATATGTTATGCAAGAATTGTAAAACTGAGAGGTTTCAGGTTTTGTTCAAACTTAATGTATAATACAGGAACTGGAAGAGGGGAAGAGGAGAAGAAAACATGAAAGGCCTTTAGCTGAAAGCATTGTCTCTGTGTGTGAAACGTATTACATGTTATAGTTGTTTATGACAGCAAGGCTCTGGGCTTAGAGACCCTGAAAGTTTCTTCCCATATCACAACCTATAATTTAAGCACACCAGTGTGATGAAAAATGAGAAGGTTAACTAACAACCTAAAAGAAAAAAAGGTTAATAATATATCTAAGGGCTTCCAATGAAACTTTTATTTTCTTTCTGTAAGTTGATATTTTTCATCAAACTGCATGGAGGAGTTCTTGTGCTATGTTTTTAAAGCTGGTTACCTTTTCCCATGGATTAAACTCAGCTAGGGTACTAAAGCTTTTAGCCTGAAACCATGCCAACCTTTACAAATCATATTAAGCATACCAAATTAATTGGCCTTGAGGTAAAAAACCAAAACCCTAGCAGAAAATAAGACTCAACTAGAATTTTTCGCTTCAGTTTTCTGTGGGCTTTTCTATGTAAAGAAGGAGGCTTCCAGAATGGTGCATAGAAAAGTGTATCCATTCAAGATACTTGGCATCTTTTGAGAATCTTAGAGAGTGAGATGCTCTTTTCACATTTCTACTGATGATGAAAGAAAAGGGACAGTCAAAAGGCAAAGAAGTGAAATAAATAAAAGCAAAGTATATTTGGGAATGGAATAGTGATGTCTTTACAATGAAAGTGAGTTTATGTGGGGAATATTAAATATAGTTTGGTTGTGTAATGTCATCATTCATGTTCTTCATTTTGACTTTGATTCCTTAGTTTAACTGACCACTTTGCTACTTCTGGGGAAAAAAAAAATTAGTCACTTGTGACAGCAAAGCAATAAAAATAAACCGAATCCTTAGTTGAGAGAGAGTGTGTAATTAAGAGAGTTAATGGCAAGTTATTCTAAAGCTGCACTTATGCTTTTTAACTGGCTAATCACATTTTGAATGTGTGGGAAGAGTCGCTATAAGATCCTCCAACTTTTAATTTCCTTAGAGCATGAGAGGAAACCCATTATCCATTGCTGCTAGCCTTGGAAGGAAGCTTATGAAACTTAAATGTTGACCAGGTTTCATCTTAGCTGAACTTTAGCTAGCTGTGTTCAAGATGCCTGGATGTCAGACACGTAAGGAGAGGAGGTTCAGATATACCCTTGTTGTATCAGTGTTTTGAATGATCAACTGGGTGGTTGTTTGCTCTACACTTTGCCTTCCTGAATTGTGACATGGAAATATGCTATTCAGTTCATTGCCTGCTTGAGCAGTTTTGCTGTCTAACCTGCATGATCTGGGTCAGCCAAGATCATGGCCAAGCACCTGTGTTTTAGGCATTGAAGTGCTTAAGTTCTCCTTAGTGGTTTGGTTTTTTAAGATCCCTTTAATGAGGAAGAAAGGGCAATACAACAGAAAGATTTTATCCTAGCAAGGTAAATCTAGATGGAATTACAGTATACGGAAGTAGGTGAGAACACGATAAGCCAATATTTTGATCTCTGATGCAGAGTAAATATGATTGGATTTTTGTTATCATATATCACTGTGTGGAATAAATGTTTTAATATATATATTTTCAGCAGTTAAAAATGCAGAGATCACTAAAATTTTTCCTCACCCATGGTGGTTTTTTTGTTTCCTTTTTCTTTTCTATTATTACAGATGAGCTGACTGGCATCCTTAAAAAATTGTCACTTGAGAAATATCAGCCTATTTTTGAGGAGCAAGAGGTATGTCTTTTTTAAAAGATTTATTTTTTACTGTTTTAGAAAAAGTGGGGGTGCGACACACATTGCATCAGAATTGTGATCCAGAATCGCAAATTTTGTTTTACAAACATTTCTGGTTGCAGAGAGGACCTTGAAACATGGACCAAGTGGTATTCCTGGCATTCTCCAGGATACTGCAAATATCAGTGCTTTTTACACTGAACCTACAATTTTGATGTAGATAGGTGCTTCTGTTTTTTTTTTTCCTCTCTGTTTTTACACTCTGCTTTTTCTGTATATGTCTGTATCCAATGTGGCTAAACAGTTTATAGGACATACTGTATCATCCCTGGAATCACAGCTGGAACCTCGTTTGCAGATGGAGAACAGCAGGGTGTGAGTCGCTGAGATTGCTGCTTTCTCTTCTTTATCCACTATGAATAAGCAAGAGGAGAATTAAATTGCAGAACCTAAGCATCATTGTAGATGAGGCCTGTGACAGTGACTTGCCTGAAGGATGCAATGAAAGAAAACATTGCTGAAAATCAGTAAAATTCATTCATTACAATGTTTAAGACAGTATCAGAGGCGAGCAATAATTGTGTGTTTGGCCAAAGGCAGAGGGTAGTGAATGGACATACGATAAATTGACATTGCTGCAGAGTTCAGGATTCAGCACCAGATTATTTAGCTGCATCAGTACACTGGGCTTATTATTGTTCCCCTACATGATAGGGAAGGGAGCATTTTGTAGAAATGAATATTTTCTGTGTGTGAAGGTTATATCAATTTGAAAAGTTTTAGATGTTTGTTCTTATCACAGCCTTATGGATGTGTCGCTATAATAAAAACCGATATATGAACAAACCCTAGGTCTTCCTCAGGAGACACTGGAAAAGTACACACAATATTCTGAAATTCCAAAAATACTTAGGGGAGGGGAAGGGGAAGAAAGGAAAAAAGAGAAATCTTAGGCTTATTCAACTAGCAGCTACTGTAAGTAGAGGAATTTTTGTGGAGAGTATCTATTTTGAATTGATAGAGCTTGTCTGAAAAAAAATGTAAAATCCATTAATATTTTAAATATACTATCATAATTAATTGAATTATTAATAGCAGATTTAAAACCTGACAATAGAGTAGGTACCATTTGGTGCTGGTAATTCATTAAAAATTTTTCTGTGCACAATATTTACAGTAAGTCTATACAATTAAAAAACACAAACAAACGCTTTTAACCTGTAATAGTGAATAATTGCTGAGGTAAATTTGTCTTGTCTTTTTTTTCTTTTTTTTTTTTCCTTATATAGGTGGATATGGAAGCCTTCCTTACACTTACTGATGGTGATCTGAAAGAACTGGGTATTAAAACCGATGGATCAAGGCAGCAAATTTTGGCAGCTATTTCTGAACTGAATGCAGGAAAGGTACATTTTGAAGTACTGTACTTAGTAAATTAATTCAGGGTTTGCGTATATTTTTAATTCAACATACATTTCAAAATTCAGTTGCAGATGTTAGTTAGAAAAGCCAAATGAATGTTTTCCAAGCAAAATATTTAATGTATTTGATTAGTGAAAAATATTTTCCTTAGTGGTATTCCCTGTTCTCTTTCATTAACTCTTTCCTCTTTCCGTGACTGTACAGTTCTTTTACAGAGTATTGGAAATTATATCAGAAGCTACTGGTAACATAAACATTGGCAATATTGCAGTTACTGAATATTGATTTCAGTGATGCTAAAAAGAATCATCTGGCCACTATAGTCCAGCTAGAGAATATAATGTAAAAGGAAAGGTCTCCTTTGTTTTGCCTAACAGTTTTTGATTTCTCTGTGATAAGGTAAATAGCACTTCTCTCATTCCTTACGCTTTTATTGCCTTTTAGTTTTATATTGACATAAACAAATTTGCTAAGAATGGCATACAGTAAGCAATGTTCTTGTCAGAGGGATTATGGACTGGAGCATCTCTTCAGTTAGGCCTGCTGACACTTCTCAGCTGCTTTTTCAGTTTTGAGGTCCATTCTCTCTCTGATACTGGAAGCTTGGATAAACAAAACATAAAGGTAATTTCCCCAAGTTAAGATCAACGGCAGCAAGTGATGAGGCTAAAAATTAGAGGTGGATGATGCTCCAGGCTATAAAGCTATGAAGAAAATAATGAAAATGTTTCTATTGCTGTCTGGTAGTTTCAGGAAAAGATTACTACAAGGTTTTCTACATATCTGGGAGGTAAGGATTTGTTGTTATTCCTAATAGTACACTGTGACTGTCTGGGCATAGATACATATATTTACACACTTTTTTGTGAACTCTTAATGAATTCATTTTTTAAACGGAAATTTAGGAATACCTTATTCTAATTTATTGTGCTTTCACAGGGACGAGAGAGACAGATTTTACAAGAAACTATACACAACTTCCACTCTTCCTTTGAGAGTAGTGTTAGTAACACACGACCTCCAGGTCATTCCCAGTGTAAGTAGCACCTGAAATTAATTGAAAAATGTATGGATACTTTTAATTAATACTGGCTAGAGACAGGATGTGACAAACAAGCCAGTTAACCACTTTCTGGGTTAATGATTGATGCGTATCTGTGTCTTTTGCTGAGACTGTAGAGAAGATTTCAAGGTAAAAAGGTAGACGTATCTGTAAGATTTTTATACACACTTCAGTACTATCTGAAATAAGCATAAGATTTTTGTTAAGCATTGCTAAACACAGAAAATGGATGTAAGTATAGCAAACTATAGTATACAGTATACTGTATATTGTGTGTGTATACATATAGCAGCAGTAGGAGGTGCGTTTCTGTATGATACATAATTTACTTTTGCATACTGTTTATAGGAGACAATTTTTTTTAGTGTGATCAAGTAGATTAAATATATTCAAGGTCTACAATTTAGTATACTGGCTTAGATAGCTATGTTAATTATGTGTTTATGTATGCATACATTTAGTTATTTTGTGTAGGTAATACTTTTATATGATCGTTTGTAGTCGGTTTATTTGGAATACATCTATTCCAACCACCAGTGTTAACTGCTAGCCATTGCTGGAGAAACTGCCTGTTAAAATGTACTATCTATAATCAAAATGTACAGAAAGATGTTGCTGATCTGTAACAAATGAATACATTTCCTACAGTCACCCCTAGATATAAAAGTTGCAAATCTTTGTCCTGCCAGCCACCTGAGCCAAAGGCAGATATGCATCTGTTACTCAAGGTTAAGGAAGGGGGCAAAACCTATTCATACGTGTATTTCTGGATCCATGTTTTAGGAGGAACATGAAAGCCATTGAATGGCCTTGAGAAATTCACCATATTAAAGTGCCTCTTACTGTCCTTTAGTTGTGTATTTTGCTGCTTGCATCCACTTACAAATTATGTTAAATAATATTTCAGGTATTGTATGCTTTAGGAGGCCTTAATAATGAGCAAGTCCCAGTTGTTCCAATCTCAGTCAGCTGAATATCATTAGATATGTGAAAGCAGGTGCTAACTGTAGTCCTACTGCTGTCTTGGGGAAAACTGGGCATTGCTGGGGGAGTTAGTCAATGTAGGATACTGTCTGTATTCTGTAGAGTCTGCTTGGCTGAAGGCCACTATCAGGTGTCACTGTATGCATTGTGCAGCTTACTTCCCATTCTCAGAGTAGTCAGCATGTGTGGGAACTTCTGGATGTCTCTTGATAACATCCCAGACTTGAAGAGCCTCTTCTGTAGGTACTGCTAGGTGAGCAGAAGCTGCTATTTGGGATTTGATAACATGGTGCAATGAACTGGAATTACTCAAGAACTGAAGAAGCATACAGACATAACGTGTCTCCAAGCAACTTGCTGAGCCTAACCACTGAGATTAAAAGTGTCTTGAAGACAGCAAGAGATGGTAATGGTGGCACAGAGCTGGGGAGAACGTCCTTTTGTAAGAATGGAGGCAACAGTTGCTCCTGCTGACCAGTTGACAAGATGCTGCAAGGAGGCTGCCATCAGAGATTTAGCTTTTGGGTTTTTGTGTGTGAGAATAGATTTGGCTGTGAAACAGCAACAGAAGCACTAACAGAGAAGGAAGAGGAAAACAACATGTAGATAAAAGAAGTTTCTGCACCAGGTAAGCTGCTTTTTATCGTAAAAAGTAGCAGTGAGACCCTTATGCAGTCTCTGGAACTTGAAGTAATTTCCAGGAATGTGTAGTATTTTAGAGCATAAGAGCAGCTGTACTGAGTCAGATCCAAGGTCCATATAGTTGTTTTCAGCTTTTTCATCCGGTCTCATTTGACGTTGGTGTGAGGAGCTGCTTGCTTTCATTTGCTGTGAACTTGCCATGTCCTGACTTCTTTTGCTTCATCCTACTGGATCAGAAGATACAGTGGACAATTATTCCCTCTACATTGCCTCCATGCCACTGATGATTTTACAGATATCTGTGATACTCTTCCTCAGTCATATTTTTTCCACACAGAAGACTTACAGGCTGCTTAATCATTCCGTATCCCATAGTTTTTCTGACTTCTTTTCTACTATATTCTTTCAGACTTGGAGATACCAGCCTAGCATACAATATTCAAAGTGTAGGCATACTGTGGATTTACACATGACAGAGTGATGTTTGTTTTTTAGTTGTGTTCTTTATTTTCAGTTCTTTTGCCCTGTCCTAGTTATTTCTAGTAATCTGCTTTTTTGGCTATAACCGAAGACTGATTGGTATTAATTGGAACTACCTCTTATAACCCAGCTCATCTACTGAATTCGAGCTCAGAGCCTATCATTTTATATAACCACTCATACATCATTTTTTGCATATGCCTTACTTCATATTACTTCATATTTATCTTCATCGAATTTTGTCTGTCATCTTATTGTTTGGGCACTGATGTCTCATGAAGTCCTTTTGCCAGTCTTCTGTTTGCCTTTCTTTTTATTCACATGGATAACTTAGGAAAGTTTATCATTTCACTCTATATGCCCTTTCGAAATCATGTATTGAATATCCTGAGTCCTCATGCAGATCCCTATGAAATGCTAGTGGTGAATCTCTCTACTATGGAAAAAATCACTGTTTATTCCCACCTTCTGTCCTCTGCCTTCCTAGCCGATTATTTATCCACACAAGAAATTTTCTTTTTACCCTGTGGGTTCTTTATGGTCCTAAGAACCAGCCTTGGACCTTGTGAAATGCCTTGTAAAAATCCACGCATCAAGTGGACCTCTTTTATCTACAAGACTGTTGGCATCTTCAAGGAATTCCAGTAGGTTGGTGAGGCAAGACTTTTCAAATGCCTTTTTGATTGTTTTGCACAAAATTTCAGATTCTTTGTTATAGTTTATGCTAATCTGCCTCTTACTACTGGCTATCTCACTGGTCTGTGTTTCCCTGGATCTCCCCTTGAACCATTAAAAAAAAAAAAGCATCATTTTTATCACTTTTCAGTTATGTGGCAATTTAAATAAGAATCTGTGCTCTGTACTCAGCAGTTCAGCTGCTTAATCCTTATGTTCCTCTAGAACATCTGGCTTAGCAATTTGTTATTATTTGCTTTGTGTATTTGTTTCATGAGCTTTTTTACCAATACTTCAGGTTAAGATACCTTGGACTCCCACATAAAGAAGGCTTCTGAAATGGGAACCTTCCCAAGCTTTTCCATGGTGAATACATTTAGTTTTTCTGATGTGAACTTACTTCTCTAGCTCGTTACAGTCTAATCATTGATTGGCATCATGGCATCTGTAACTGGCTGGCTCCTGTGGTGTGTTTGAAAAGTAATATGTGAATTTTTTTTGCTTTTTGCATGGTCCACAGCCTCTGGTTTCTCTACAGCTCTTCCTAGGAGCCTGTCTGGACACCATTAGCAAGAAAGCCACTTCATGGTTTGCTAGAAAGCTAGATGTAGCTCACAGGATAATAAAAACATCCCACTCTTCCAGCTATGTCAGTATCACTGTTTTTACACCTATCACTGTGATATCACTGTGATTTCCTCAATATTTTGATTCATTTTAAAAGCTCATTTTAAGAGCTCAATACCTAAAACAGAGTGGCTGCCAGTGTGGCTCTGCTTTTATGAAGTTTGCAGCCTGTAGGGGTGTAAAGAAGATGATGAAATACAGTCCAAATATATCCATAAGACTCAAAAATGAAAAAGAAGGGGAAAAGAAACTAAATCCTCACTTTCTGGAAATGTAGCTTATATTTGTGGGAGGTCTGTAGGCTGACTACCATCACCAAGCCTGCGAATGTCTGCAGCCTCTACACCCTTCCCCATCCATAGCTCCAGTGCCCACTTGGCTTCAGTTCCCCCCAGGTGCCCCGATCCACACTGCCCAGGCACAGCCCCTCCCCTGCTGCCACGGGGTCAGGAGCTGATGCTGCTCATCAAACCTGGTATGAGATGGCAGGCAACAGAAACAGAAAAGCATCTAGATGAGTGTCTCTAGAATGGAAAAGAGAACTGCAGTGATTATCTACATTTACACTTCTAAGGAAAGCAGTAGAAGGAAAACAACGAGAGGCAGAAAAAGTAAAAGCAAGACTGGCCGAAGTAGAGGATTGATGGTATAACTAATTTCACACAACAGGCTTGATTAGGGAAAATACTACAGTTTCTTCTCGTTTTTTTGGCAGTTCAAGTATCCTCAGCTAGCTCTGGTTGAGCACCTCCTGCTGAGGTCATTGCTTCTGAACTCGCTGTGATAGTCACGAACTTGTAGAAAAGTTGTTGAGTGTTTGTTGGGTTTTGGCAGATGAGCTATTTCAATTATAATAAAGCTCACAGTTGGGAGAAAGATTCCTTTGTACATCAGTTGCTGTGTCATCCCTCTGTCTGGAAGTGAGATGATTCTGCTTTGCAGAAAACAATAGGCTTTGACATAAATTTGTTTTCTGTCAGAAGGATACTGAGACCACTTCCTCCCCACCCCATGCCAGCGATACTAGGTTAGGCTGTGGGAGCTCCATATTCCAGTCCTTGCCTGAATCGCATGAGGGAGATGACTGCCCTAACTGCAGTATAAATAACTCAGTGTTTACTGGACCCATAAGCCGTTAGATTTGGTGGCACCATAGTTCTTGTCCCTATTCTGGATAGCCAAACAGTACTTGCATGGAGAGTGTTGCCTCTGTCTCTTTTTTTAATGGAGATGAATTGGTGACCTTCAGAAAATTCTGCCGAAATAATTCATTCCAAGAGTGAATGTCATGGGGTTTTTTGACACTTCAGTAGTTTTCAAGAGAAAAAATTATGGGTTCAAAAACTGCCGATGCATGCTAATCACCCTGTCTTTGGTAAGAGAATCTACTAGGAGGATACTGCTTCTTTATAACCCAGTGAACTGTGCCAAACAAACACAGAATTAGCTTGCTGTTTCACCATTTAAATTTAGAGCAGATGACCAGCCCATGGAGGCATGAGGCAAGATGACTGCTCTGAGGAACAAAACGCTCCTCCTTTGTCTGGACTCCCAACTTCAATGAAAGAGCAAGTGGCAGCACAAAGTCCAGATCTCTGAGGAAACTGGGTTTAAGAAATGATATCACCCCAGGAAATGTTCATGTTTGTAGTTTGAGGTGATTACATGATTCTGGTAAAAAAGAAGATCAGACTTTTTGAATGCCTAATTGCCAGACTAATTGTTTAGGGTTTGGGGTTTTTTTGGGGGGTTCGTGCAGTTATCCAGTGGATAATCAAGGGGTTGAACAGATCTGGCAGTGGTCTGCAGGTTAATTGAAAAAAATGACACCGAAGGAGAGAGAGCTGCATCTCAACACAGACTTGCCAAATCAGAAATGAAAAGCTGAAAAAAGTTCATGTGGATTCTGTGAAACTCTATGGAAAAAGAGGGAGCAAACCAACTGAAATTATTTCTTCCAGAAGAGTAGAAATAAAATCCCATATGCTAGTTATAATACATAAGTAAGGAAGTGTTACATTTTAGATCTGTGATAAAAAATGGGAACAGTTCATGGAGTTCCCTTGCCCAAGTCTGAGGCTCATAAGAGAATTTGCCATTTCTACAAGATGAAAAAAGCAAGAAAGCATCCAAGGTTTATACTCTGAAGGACACAGTCTTCTTTTTCTCCTAGGGTATTTCTTAACCTCATTATGAAAAAAAAATTAACAAAGATTTGTTGGAGGTAAAGCTAACTGCGAGTTAGCTTAGTTTACCTTCTAATACCAATTTTATTGAAATGCTCAAAAGAAAAAGATGAGCCTCATCACTTGGTATAGACATCCAGCTGTTCTCCCCCATCTAAACAGAACACTTCTCTTATAACAGGTGGGAAGAGAGCACCCCAGCATCTAGCAGGGGCACTGAACAAAGGGAGGATTTAGGTACCAAAAGAATAAACTGAATATTCTCCAGATACAAGTTAAATGAAGAGTAACTATGCCTATGATGAAAAAAGAATATGATGCCATTCAGTCTATAATTCTTTGCGGAAATTCTGGTCTTCCAGTTCTCTTTACATATGATAGTATGTTGCATATTGATACATACTTACACATATGTATCTGCAGATACATATATAGGTATTTTAAAAGATGTGACAGAATACAGTGGAAGAGACTGGGGAGTCATTTGTGTATTTACTTTCAACTTTTGGATTCAGAGTCAAAAATATCAAACGGAAATTATCCAGAGGAGGGAATTAGAGAGATTGTAGAGTGAGAAGTAAAAATAGGAGCAAAACCAATATAGACTTGCAAATAAAAATCATACAGGATTCAGGTAGTCACTTGCTGGAAAGGTACACATTGAGAAAAGAGAGATACTAGAAAGGTTTGTGGCAGTAGATGATCTTTTCACACGTGACTTTGACTTTTCATACCTTCTCTGTACAGGAGAGGGCTTAAGATGAGTAAAATGAATTACAGAGTCAAATTGTTGGAGTCTGGTGTAACAATGATATTGTTTCCGGTAGTTATGGAATTACTCTGTCTTCTTTAAAGCTGTGAGTCTTGCTAGTTGCATTTTTTCAGATTTTTTTTTTTCTTTTACAGCACCTGGCTGCTCTATAAAACAACAAGAAGCTGTTTCTCCTAAAAGGTAGCTACTGGAAAAAAAGATTTTTTTTCTTACGGTGGAGTTTGGCATCTGGCTGAGTAAATCCAAGTGTACAAATGAAAATTTGAAAAGTTAGTCCTAACTACACCTGTATAGGACTTTCTGCAGTAATGTGTTCAAAATTTGAATCCCACAAAGAATCAAAGAAAATAATAAAAGATTGCTTTTATAGTTCAACCTGAGTGTTGAATTGTTCAAGGCGTCAGCGGTCTGGATTTGAGAAGAACAAAGTCAGAAGAGCAGGAAGAATGAATGACCATATAAGAAGACTGATATTTTCGTTCTACTCTTATCCATGGATGAAGAACTCATAGGAGGCCTACATGGGCACAGTCAAGAACAACAAAAGCATGGAAAAAGGCATGAAAACCACCACGAATTATGAAAGCTTCTACGTGGAGAAATATATAAACTGAATATGCCTCTATTGACTGGATACAGATAAAGGAGTCCAAATTGAAAATGTAATGGTTTCATGAGAAGGAATATAAAGGAAAAGTAATGCTGCATTCTTCATTAACCAAAATACACTTTATCTATTCAATATTAAGAAGTTAGAACAGCAGTAAAAGTAAATATGAAACACATATTTGTAAAAATAGCACTTTATTTAAGGAAATGCATAATCTGTCACCAATATTTAAACAGAAATAGTATTATAATATTTTATATTGCTGTGATCAGTTGTTTTGAGAATAAAACCATTTAACTGACATTGCCGTGGGCTTTTTCAACAGTAACACTACAGATCCTTAAAATATATTTTTGTAACTTGATTTTTCTAATAATTTTGAAAGAACTAGTTACAGTAATTATAAGTGAAAATAATTTTCTGCTTAGTAAATACAAATTTTTGTTGAGCAATTAAAATACAAGTCATCAGAAGCCTGTGACGCTGTATTATCTTTCTGAAGACTCACAAATACGTAACTTTACCACTGGCTGAATTCAGTGTGAGTCCAGGAGTACTAATGCAGGTCAAGTCAAGAAGATCTTGGAGTTCCAATGCAGGGGAGTGAGCTCAAGTAATTACTTCTGTATGGAACTAAAGATTTTACATTTCTCCACCCTCCTCACTGTACTGGTTTTAGTGCAGTTTAGCAAAAATAGGGATAGACGTGGGTGTAGTGATAGACAGAGATTAACAGAGCTAGTGAAAGTGGTGATGCCCCTGCTGTCCCTCAGGTGCCTCTGAGTGTGTCAGCTGGTTCTGTGATGGCTTCGTTGGTTCGGCCATCTGAGGTACTGCCCCAAGTTGGTGACAGCAAACAGCAGAGCAGCTGAGCTGCGCCAGATTATGCAGCTGTGCCATATCAGAGCTGACCTTGAACACAGGTAGCTAAATTCCTAGGAGGAAAAGAGGTTACAGTGGGGTATTGCAGAAAAAAGATGGTTATGAGCTGATTAGGGCAGTTGGAGCCTGTTAGTACCCTGAGGTCCTTGGCGGTCATCCAGTGGCACCTTGGAGCCCCTGTCAGCATCACTGAGAATAAGTGATCTGTAATGAGCGGAAACATCTCACCTACTACCTAGTGCCTATGGGCCCTATGGCAGCACAATTTCCCCGTGCAGTTTTGTGCTTTTAATGTGACAGGTGGTAATCCAAACATCCAATACACTCTGCAGAGGGTCACCTCAAGCCTGCTAATAGGGAAACCTCAAGGTGAGAAGGCTTCAGCTGTTCCTCTTAAGAGCTTGTGGGCCTTATTCTTTGGGAGGAGGAGTACTCACCTGCGGTAAATTGAGGGGGTGGGGTGTGGTTTTTTTTCTTTAGGTCCTTTTCAATAAGACATTGAACAATAGTTCAGTGTGAAAAACACTTTGCAAGGTTGAGAGATGCATTCTTTCTACAGTCTAAGAGGGTTCAAATTCATATATACCACTGCCCAGAAGACTGTAGGAACCTCAAGGCTATAAGGCAAGGTAGGGGCATGCTTCGTTCCTCTGGCTGAATCTGTCTCACTGAAAATAATTCAGGATTCACGGAGCGTGGCCCCATAAGCATTGGTCTAGGATGGGGAAAAGTTAGGCTTTACTTCCTCTAATTTATATATTTATTTACCATAAATATAATATTTATATTATAAATAAGCTACATAGTAACTGAGGATAAATAGTGCTATAAATTTGGGAATGTTAGCCAAAGTGCATCAAAGAACGAGCAGCAAAGAGATTTAAACAGAACATAACGCTGCCAAAGGAGACCCACGGGTGCGCAAGTGTAGGCTCTTTGTGTTTACACAACAGGCAGAAAGGGTTCCTCAGACTGTCCCATCAACAAGTCCCACTATCTAAAGAGTTAGCTTTATTAACACAGGAAGACAAAGACACGGTGTTAGAGTTTGGAAACCTTTTGTATCTTCTGCTGCACTTATTTCTTAGAGGTGGTCTGTTCCTTCTGCCTGATTTAGCTGCCATCATAAGTGGAGAAACAAAACGGGTTGCTTATTATGGCTGCTTTTTAAGGCTCTGAGAGGAGGGAAGTTTGAGACTGATGCTTACGTTTATGTGTCAATGTGTAAGGGCTGATGTGGGTAGCTGTATAAACTCCACTGTAAGCAGTGGAGGTCTGGTCAGTACGGTCACTGGGCCTCTAGAGCCAATATCTGACCAGCCTAGACCAGAAGCTTGATTCAGTTGTCCAGACATCCACTGGCACTTGCATGCCCGAAGGCACCCAAAGCACCCATTAGGGGTGCCAGACATGACATCAACTGAAGGTTATGATCAGTTTGTTTGTTGCGAACAGTCACTTGGACAAAGAGACCATTCAGAGATGGAGACCGTCATTTCATTGACCTGTCCTGATTTGTTACAGACATTGAAAGGTGAAAAGCTGTTTCCCATTTCCTGTTCATTTTCTGTGTCATAGAATCATAGAATAGTTTGGGTTGGAAGGGACCTTTAAAGGTCATCTAGTCCAACTCCTCTGCCATGGGCAGGGACTTCTTCGACTAGATCAGGTTGTCCTCCTTTGTAGTTTGAATGAAAATCTTCGTTAGCAAAGTTTCCTTACCTCACAATGAAAAGTGATACCCTCTGGATTTTGCCAAAGAAGTAAACACTACAAGAAACAGTTCTTGTTCTGATTCAGTCTAGAATTATGGACTTGACTAATCTGTAGTTGTTAACCCTAAAATGTCTTATTTTGCTGAGGAATACTGTTATTTTACAAGAAGCTTTTATAAGGTTCTTGGAATTTCATTTTCTTTTTTTCTGCACTTTGAGCATTAATCAAGATCAGATTTTAAATGAAGATAACTTATCTGGAAATGATTCAAGCAGTCGTCTGTAGTATTCCTTGTGCTTCAGCAAATGCTTCAGAAGCCGGGTAGCTTCTCAAGGGAACAACTTTGGTTTCCAGAGTGAAGGGGAACATAAAAGTTAATGCAAACAGATTTCTTTAATACCAAGATCACCTCAGTTTAGAATCGCTTGGCTGGTCTGACTTTGACACTAATAGCCTCAAACTTGCCACTCCTAGATTTTATTTCAAAGCCCTCTTGGCAGTACAAGGGCACATTTAGCGGGAACAGGCTTTGTCCATTAAACCCGAAACTTCTTATGCTATATTTAAAGCTCATTTGGAATACTTAATTTTCAGTCTCTCAGAAGTTCGTATTATTGAAATAAACTGTTAATGCAATGTCCACCTTAAAGTGTCACAGCAAAGAATTGTTTCAAAGCAATTTTTGCCACTTGTCATTCACAGCATTCCAGTGTGGATTAAAACTTAATGGAGTTAACACAAAGTCATAAAAAAAGGCAAATAGATTTTTGAAGGATGATTGCCATATTCCCAACATTGCATCTCTTGCATTTTAATTGGCTTCTTATTCCTTTCAGTTCTCAAAGGTAGGTATGTACAACACTCTCAAAATAGGTCGGTCTGGTCTTAAGAGGAGTGCCACATCATGGCTGTTAGCAGAGTGGCTAGTGCTGTACTGGAGCAGGGTTCTTGAAGGTGATAAACGGGCAAATGTGAATAGAAAAACAGGCCCTTTCAAGACACCTTCTTATAAATGGTCTAAAAATATTCTGTGTTCATGCATATACTTGATATGTAGCTGTGAGTTCTTGGTTTTAGTAAGCCTAAGCGATTTGTAACACCACAGAATCGGTGGCCTGCAATTAGCTGGATTAGAGATTTCCGTTTTGCTGAGTTGCGGAACAAAATCACTTTGCACAGAGAGCAGTCAGCAAAGTGCAATGGATTTGATTACCGTGGGCCTGATTTCAATTGTTCTCAACAGATTTCTTTATATATGTTTTTTCCAAGTCCCTCTCTGCTGCCATTTTGTCCTAAGAAGGGGAAGGTGGAGTAAAAGGAAAACAAATTGAAAAAAGTTAGGGATAGAAGCACAGATAGTATTTTTAGTAGATTGGGATTACGGGTTTTCTTTCCAGGATCTGCCTCTCCTTTAGGCTGTTTCTTGAGCAGTCAGAATTAATATTGAATGCCCTGGGACTCACTTTCTTCAGCAGCTCAGGACTCCAAAGCACTTACTTTTTATCACAGACTCAGTTCAAAATCCATTGCTCACATTCCTTTACTCAGACACAGAGCAAACAGAAGGCATCACCCTCTGTGCTGGTAATTAAATGGTGTATGCAGAGGTCCACCTTTCCAGCCGTCTGGGCCACAGAACACAAAATACAGCTCCAATTTATAGATGCTCCTAATACATTGTATCGTTTATCTCTTATCATGCATTTTAATTGCTTATTTGGTGTAAGTGTCAAGCACACACATGAACTGTAGTCCTTAACAATGCCACCGATTCAATTCACAGAATCACAGAATGGCTGAGGCTGGAAGGGACCTTTGGAGATCATCTTGTCCAACGCCCCCCTGCTCAAGCTGGCCACCGGTTGTCTGGGACCATGTCCATTGCTCTCCCCTGATCCACTGAGACAGCCATCGTAGAAAGCTATCAGGTTGGTCAGACATGATTTCCTCTTTGTAAACCCATGCTGACTACTCCCAAGCACCATCTTAAAATATTTGGAAAAGATTTCCAGGATTATTTTCT